CTCCAATCTTTTTGATTCAAGAAAAGAACATTTTGACAATGCTGCCTTGCACTTTTGTTGTCAAAGCAACACCCAAAAGCAACTTTAATATAATTGATTATCTTAAAAAATAACAATGTAAGAAAAACTAAAAGTCCCACTCCCAATTTCGGGGAAGCAACATTTTTTTAAAATTGTCTAAAATTTGCATAATTTAAATGGCTAATAGAACTATTAGTAGTTAAAAGACCTCCACCCCATTTAGCAGCCCTCTGAATCTTTAACTGCTGACCAGCCTCAAAATAAACATGTAATTCTATCACTTAGATCAGCACCTCACTGACTCCATCAAAGAGCAGGAATCCCCCCAGCATAAAGGAAGATGCCAGAGATGGAATCTATATATCTGAGGGTGATCTTCTTTTCCGGAGTCCCAAAGGTGCTTTCTTAAAAGGCAACTGGGCTTTGTTTTTCCTTGAAGATGTTTTGCTTCTCATCCAAGAAGCTTCTTCAGTTCTGATGTCTTCAATCCTTTTCTTTCTCTCATCATTTCCACTAGAGAGGTTGTTCATCTTTAATGAAGATTCACATCCACTTTTGTTTGTGATGGTATGCTATCATGATACATATTTAGCAATCATTGTAGTTAAGTACAGATACGGATTCCTTAAGATCTGTTTGCAAGGCATGGTCTCTCTTTGGAGATAGATTTTCTTTTCTTTTCGTAAGTACTCCTACCTATATACTTATAGCAGGGGTGTGAAACTCACGGCCCACGGCCCGGATGTGTCACACACTGGCCAAGCGCACCCCCATTTTAGCGAATGGGGGAAAAGTCGCGACACGTCATGTGATGACGTGATGACGTGTTTAACACCCCGCTCTATAGTTAAGAAAGAAGACAACCTTAGAGGCCCTGCTTCAGTACCTCTGAACTGTTTTATTTTCCAAGCAAGCATTGATTTTAATGACTTCTGGGATTAGACAAGTAAACTTTTTAATTTATGACCTTTTGTTGTTTTTATAAAGGATAGGGCTTATACCATTAAAAAAAAGTAAAATAGAAATTGCAGAAATATTTAGGCTTATATAATCGTTCAAAGTGGAAAAAGCTGTTGCTGTTCAAAGGACAATCTAGTCCCCTTTAGGAACAGGCATTTCAGGCTACAAATGATCTCAGGCCAACTCAATGAATTTCTGCTAGGCTCCCAAATAGCACTTGCATAAACTATGTTCACAAAGTCCTTCTTACACCTGTTCAGTAGCAGCTGTGAAGGCCAACCATTGGATGTAATCCAGCACTATTACACAAGAGCAAATATGTCAAAGCTATATTTAGGCATCTCTATTACGCTGTAGTTCTTCCAATGTCTTGATTTAGTTTATTTGTTCTATGTCTTAATCCCAGGGATAGCCTATACTATTTAATTCCTGACTCTCTTATTTCAAGCATTTTAATAAGGTCATATTGAATCTTATTTTGATTGGTTATAGAATTTCACAGGTAGCAGGTCAGTTTAGGGAGTGCAAAGCCTAGTACTCTGGTACAATTCTGTTTTCTCTCTTCTTGTTATCACTTCTTGTTTCTCAATTTTTTAGTGCATAAGCACTTTGGCTCATTCTCTTCTGTTGGGTCCAAAAATTAGATATATATAAACTTGATATATTGCTTAGGTAGATATGGGTGCTGGAATAGTGCTAGTGACATGAGAACATCTTAAATCAACTGAGAGTTTTTGTGAGTCAGCATATTCACTTGTGCATTGCCTTAATGCTGGTGATTTGGAGAGGTGCAGAGGTTTTATATCTCTGTTCCATAGAAGCTTTTAACACTATTGGAATAATATAAGATTCAGTTATAATGGTATTGGCATTATATACCACATGGCATCATGTGTTCACCTACCTACCTATACGAAAGGCAAACATCCACATGTTCACTAAATGGCAGGAAGGAAATGCAGAAATGATCCACATGTTGGCATCACAATGAAAACACCGTAATAACATAATTGATAATCAGAATACCTTTCCATAAAATAATGGTTCTTATATACTTCCCCTTCTAAAGGCCTCATCTGAGAGGCATGGACAAAGTTGCCTGCAGTTGGGGGCTTAAAATTGAGCATCTTCAAGCCATCATTTTCTCTGTAACATTCTATGGAAGTAAAAGTTAAACTTGAAGAAGCAGTTTTATTTTATTAATGCTTTTGAACGTTGACGTTGGAGAACATTACTGAGAATACTACAGCTACCAAAGAAAACAAAGAAATCAACCCAGAATTATCTCTTGAAGCATAAATGATGATGCTCAAATTATCTTATTTTGGACACATCTTATGAAAATCTAGTTCTCTAGAAAATATTTTGAAAGCTGGGAAAAGTAGAAGAAAATAGGACGATCAGCAGCAAGGGTGAGGGACTCAATTACAGTGGCGAAGGATTCACAGTTGAAAGTCCTGAAAGACCAGATTGGGGCAGATTGCCCTGGAGAAAATCTATCTACTCTATGTGGTTGCTAAAAGTCAGTATCATCTTAATGGCATACAATTAATTCATCAATATAGGAATTCTATGGTATCTTGGGAATTATGTACAGTAGCTTCAATTTTTAACACCTGAAGGAGTAAAGTTGTGAGAGAGGAGCAATAAGATAGATGTGCATTATGCCTTGAAGTTTGTGAAGCTTTCTTCTTTTGCATTGTTAAACTTTTGCTTCCTTTGGTTGTTGTCTTTACCAACCCATGGGTCTTAAATTGTGCCAGAGGACTAGCAAGAGACTGAGAAAGTATTTTGTGAAGGCTTTTGCTATAGATATGGGTGAATGTATTGAGACAATTATACAGTGAACAATGTAGAAATGCCCCACATCTCCCAACTATTTGGTATATTTCAAAGGAGTTATAGAGAAATGCCTCTTGTAAGGTGCAACTTTTGCCAGAGAGAAGTTAAAAGTATTTGGCTTGCCCTACTAACAATAACAGATACTGTTCCCTCATTGATATTTTTTTCAACTCATGGAAACCCGAATGTGCAGCCCAATTTGTGGAACTGGGCATAGGATACTTACTGCGCAGGTAAGTAGGAAGTTGGAAAGTGCAGACAATTTCTGGTGGCTAAGGCAGAAAATCTGGATGGCGTTTAAAAGTGGTAAAAACATAACCATGATGCCAAAGCTCTTTTTCCTATTGTTAAGTGGGCTGCCATATTTTGAAATAACTGGGCAGCCCTGGGAAAATTGCTGCTGCTGGGAAACCCCCCCCCCCTTTAATGTGCCAAGTGATCCAGGTATGAACACTTTGCTTTTGAATCTTCACTGTAGTCTTTTATTGGTTGGCAGCCTAATAGATAATTAAAGAACAGTTCAGTCATCTCTGTGGGCTCTCTGTGGAGAATTGCCAAGCTGACAATGTTGCATTTTAATTATTAAGCAACACTGATACCTGTCCTTGTAAGGCAACTAACACAGAACAGATCTCTCATCCAACAGCTCCAATTTGCTCCATTTAACTTGCTGAATAGTTTTCTGTCAAGCACTGCATACTAGCTCAAACCTCTGGCACAACTCAAACATGTTTCACGAAGCAAGCATTTGCTACCCATGCCTCTATTTGAAACCTTATATGCTTCATGAGTTAATAGAATTTTCTCTACCTTTTTTTTCTTCTTGGCCAAACCAAAATTGCATAATAGAACAAAATACAAAATATAAAATACAAAATTGCATAATAGAACAAAATACAAACAGGGTAATTTTTGGTGGCAGAATCTGTATTTTTACAGCCTTTAGGAAGTTAGGTGTACTTTCATTCTGAGGTGTCATCCTACCCTACTGCTTTATCTCATAATTACCCATAAAAAAGATAGGGCTTCAATTGCCGTATCATTCATGCCATCCTCATATTTTGACCTTCCACTCCCCATGGATGCCATGGCTACAATTTGGCTTTGATTGGTCCCTGACCTGATTTTAAAATAAATTTTCTTCCCAACAGTCACACATTAGAACTGTTTGGTGGTACTTTGATTATTACTAAAGAATTAATATTTTTTTATTACTGGTCATAAACACACCACATATATCAGAATAAAATAATAAGTTGGTCCTAATAAAAACATTCTTTACTATATTTACTGTTTTCCCTTGGAGGATTGCCGTGCCTTTTTCTTTTTTAAGATAAAGTAGGCTATTCTTAACTTAAGAACACTTACTACTTGTTGTCACCTAAACCTATCAACATTCCTGCTGTCAGCTTCTTAAGACATAGGCCAAACCTGCTTGACCTTAGAAAGCTTCCTTCTAAAAACATGAAATCATTTTGCCCCAAAGAGAAGCTAACTGCTGTTAATTTGTGGTGCTCCCTTTAAAAAAAAACCTGTTTGCGATAAATGTCACCATTTCTCACATACCTTGTGTTCTATATATGGTTAATGGTAATGTTGCAAGAAGAAGCCATCCTTGAAAACGTTTTTTTAAAAAAGCTTTTTAATTGCCTTTATACAGAGAAATCAAACAAATCTACAGAATTGCAACTCTTAATAATCAACAACCATCATAATTTCAATGTATGTTAAGACCTACATCAACATATCTTAAGGGCCTGTTTGTGGCCAAGGAGATTCTTAAAAACCTAATTTTGAATGGCACACTCCTATTGAACATTACAAGCAAAGCCCCTGACCCAGCTTCAGTTGCAACTAGCATCCTGGATGGACATGTGCTTGCTCATCCACAGTGAGGAGCAGATAGTGTTTGTTGCAAAGGAAGAGCAAAATGTGTACTCAGAACTATATCCTTCTACATATATAGATCCCTAACACTAGAGCAATGTGAACCATTTGTCCTGAGATAGAGAAACCCATCATTCCAGAAATGTAATCCTATTTCCATTTTGCTATAAATTCAATGGCCTGTTGCTTTTCTGGTTGATCTTTCCCTTATTGATTTGCTTATGCAGCAAAGAGAAATAGGGATAAAAACAAATAGCTGACATTATTTCAGCCTAGGAATTATTTTCCTCTTTTGCTTCCCAAGCAATAAACATGGGAAAGTTTGCCTCGTGATTGAGAAAACTGGAGTTGTAAGGCACCAGGCTGAGAAAACTTGGCAGAAGTAAAAATACAGTTGATAGGAAATGTGACAATACTTTAAAAAAACCCAGAAGCTTTGTGATTTGTGGCTGATTAAAAGAGAACTTGCTTTTTTGCTGTGCTTATTTTATACTAAATTGTGTTTCTATTGCAGCAAGCCATTCATTGACAATATGAAACTGTTGCCCTCTCCTACTGTTCTCAGTCTTCTTAATTTCTGTCTCTATCTGATTTGCTACTACTAGTTTTAATGGCTATGCATTTAGATATTCTACTTTCAGGTGCATCTCCTTCTTCCTAGCATCAGCAGTATACTTTGCCTTGAAGTTGAGGAAGAAATGGCAGTAAGTAATACTATGGCTCATGAAAACCTGTAAGCATGTGGATAGGAGCGGGCAACCACATTTGATTTATCATAGAGACTGACGCTGATATAAAAACTAATCAATGCTCATAAGGCTGTAGGCTGTCTTTATAGCAGGTAGGTGTCCTTAACATAAAGGATTTGTGTTTGTGGTTTGGAGGCTGAGAACATCAATGGATTGGATCCTTTTTTTGGTAATGTGTGTGCAAATATCTGAACAAAAATATAAATCATGTGGAAGAATTTAGCTTTGCTTAATGTACTACAATCTGTTATGTTGACTTCTACCAGATTACCCTGACAGACATTGTGATAAAGTCTTGGAAAAGCCTATCCCCTATTCCAGACTCAGAATAGTCTACTAAAACCCCCAATCCTTTTCCCTGAGCCCTCCATCCTATCCTCCTTCTCCCTCCCCCTTGCAAAGAGCAGTTTGCTGGATTTAGGCCATTAGCCCTAGAGCTGCTGTAAGCTGAGAATGCCCTGGGCATGCATGCAGGCATGTGTCTCTCCAAACAGTTAAGCCTTGGGGTAAACGGTGACAGCTTCGTAACCCTCTGGGGGCCTTGTGCGAGCCCTGGCATGAGTTTCACAGTATAACTGCCCCTCCACGAAGAAGTAACCTTTCTGCTTCAGGTTGAGATTGCAGTCGGAACAGATGAAACATTCTGGGTGCCTATACTTGTCACGGGCTTTTACTACTGTGCCACTGTTAAATGAATAATTAAAAAAGAAAAAACAGAAAGAAAGAAAAAGTCAGCTGAATGCAATTTTCAGAGACTGGGACACAGAAATCAATGACAAGTCTGCTGCTTAAGTTCCCAAGGCCAATAAATTGTGAGCATCAGTCTTCTTCAGCTCTACCATATTCTTGGGCATGGTTCTAATCTATGATTGCCATTCTACAAGCATAGCTTGGTTAGATTCCCAACTGGAGTTAAATGAAACATTTTTTTAAAAAAAGATTAAAAAAGGTTTGTGCATATGGGACATGTGGGCTTTATTTATAGCAAGGCCCCATGCTTTCTTCTTTTAACCTTTTAAAAGTATGTTAGAACAAACCTATACAATGAGTCATTAATAATATGGCATTTTGATTTCATTTGTGAGGTTTCCAGGAATCACTGGTTTTGTTTTTCCTCTTCCCTTTTTGTTCTGTTTCACTTTTATGCTCTATTTTTTACATTTTAATCTAGTGGGGAAAACTAAATGTTTATTCTGGGAGCGTTGTTTGGCTCAACCACAGAATACAGGTAGTCCTTGACTTACAACCATTCATTTAATAACCATTCAAAATTACTGAAAAAAAGTGTCTTATGACCATTTTCTGCCCTTACAACTGTTGCAGCATTCCAGTCACATGATTAAAATTCAGATGCTTGGGAACTGGCATATATTTATGACGGTTGTAGCATGCCAGGATTATGTGATAATCTTTTTCAACCTTCCAACAAGCAAAGTCAATGAGGGAGCCAGATTCACTTAACAACCGTTTTACTAACTTAACAACTGCAGTGAATCAGTTAACAACTATTGCAAGAAAAGTTATAAAATGGGGCAAAACTCACTTAACAACTATCTTGCTTAGCAACAGAAATTTTGGGCTCAATTGTAGTTGTAAATCGAGGATTCTACCTGTATTTATTAAATGATGAATGTAATTGTAAACAAATAAACATAATCTTGTTTGAAATTATAAATGTTGTATAAATGTTGTAACAAGCTCTTTTGAAAATCAATGTTACAAATCTATGATAAGAAAATGAAATATCTTACACAATGCCATTTCCACACTTGTCACACAAAGGCACTTTCGGGACACTTCCCGCACCAGCACCCATCTTTGTGATGGGTGCTTTTACACTCCTTGTCCCACTGGGACGACCTTCTGCAAACAAAACAAAGCAATATATGTAGTCTTGGGTGACTTTTAAATAACTACCATTAGAAGTTTAAAGTGTATAAACATTTGTTTCCAACCCATGGTAAGATTTTTTCATTATAATAGACATTTTTTTACAAATATTTTACCGATGAAATATGCATATGTACAACAATTTTTAGTTCCTTTACTATTCAGTTATCTGTTTATCTATGTATATTGATTTACAGGGGGCAAATAATTTTTTCTTATTCACATAGGAATGCAGGTGTTTTCATCACTGCTAACTGCATTGAAATTACTAGGATTTAATGAGCTTTCCTTTCTCCAATCTGATGTTGGAGTCCCATGATGTTGGAACAATCTCTCTTAGAATTGCTGTGAATTCTGGCTATGTCATCCAATAAATATAACTTCAAATAAGGTAGTAGCTGGATGTATAGTGATTAGGGTACCTGGCTAGAAACTAGGAGACCATGAAAGAAAAACTCTTTGTCCTTAGACACAAAGCCAAATGGGTGACCCTGTGCTACTAATTTTATCTCAGCCCCAAGAAGTAGGCAATGGCAAATAACTTCTGAAATCTTGGCAAGTGAACTGCAGAGACCTGTCCAGGCAGGCGAGCCAGGAGTCAAGACTGAAAAGAAGATATAAAAATAGAAACAAAACAAACAAAAATACAGATAAGACACAATTGCTGTACATCATGTCTATTCTACACCTAGGGCTTTGGGGGGGGGGAAGAATGATGGATTACCATCCAGCAGGTTCAAACAACTCCCTTGAAGGTAGGAAAGAAGTAACTGAGGAAACAGTATTTCATCATTTCCTTTTATAGCATTTACCAAAAGCCTGTCTCTGAAGTAAGATTTTGGTAGAAGAATGAAATTTTTTTTCTGGGAAGCTTTTTCCAGATATCCTTGCCTCTTGCAGAACTAACAGGGATTTTCTAGAAAAGTAAAAGACCAAAAGTTTTCTTTTAACTATCACTTTCCATCCTTAAAATAATCAGAGGGATACTAATCTGTATAACCAAGAGTAGGAAAACTTAATCACAGAATTCTTAGTCATTTTTTAAAATTACTCAATACACTGACAGAAGATCAGTAATTTCTGCACTGTTCTTTAAAATATAAATAAAATAATTTTAATTCACTGTCAGGGGTGGATGCAGGGGGGAGATCAAGAAATTCAAGATGGCAGCAACTATGCAGTCAATGTTTTGTCCTATTTTACATGTTTCATGGTTGCACCTTGGTTTTTTTTTTTCCTGCTTCTAAGAATGCCCCTGTTCAATGTTTTTTTCTATTACTATTTTTATTCACTATTAAATTTGCAATTAAGATAAGTGAGTGTCAAGAGGAATTTGATCTCACAGTTAGCTAACATATCAAAAGACCAACAGTTTAATGGGTCTGGATTAAGATACATGCATTCCATGCCAATTGCTTAGATAAATTTCTAAAAACACACTATAGTAAATAACGCAGTATAGTAAATGCTTCTGATTAAACAGTATAGAAGTGCACTTAAAACAGTATATTCCTTTCTATAAAAAGGATTGTTCTCTTTTTGTACCATAAAAATACTATTTTTAATGGCCTCTCTTAAAGTAATACTCCTGATTTATATTTTTATTGATATAATCACACATTTTATTTATGCTTCCTTTTCTTTTCTTTTTTTTTTGGTATGGTATGATTGGATCCAGAAATGATGGGAGAGAGACAAAGGATAATGTTGGATTATAATTATAGATGATGGTATAATTATGGTAATCAATAAGTATTGGAAATGTAAATTTGTATATAAAAATCTATAATCTGAGCCTGGTGGCTCAGCAGACTGATAGCATTGTGATTAACACCAGCTGTCTGCAATTACTGTAAGTTCAAATCTCACCAGGCTCAAGGTTGACTCAGCCTTCCATCCTTTCTAAGGTAGGTAAATTGAGGACCCAGTTTGTGAGAGCAATAAGCTGACTTTGTATAAATATACAAAAGTATGAAGGCTATTGCTTAACGCATTGTAAGCCGCCCTGAGTCTCTGGAGAAGGGCGGCATATAAATCAAATTAAAAAAAAATTTCTTTTTCTATTTTTACTTTCTGATTATTGGTGTATATATACATGGATATTTTGGTGATGTTACACCGTGATAGAAAAACTATTATACATTTGTCAAAAAAAAAAAAATGTTCTCCCCTACAAGTTAAATAATGAAAGATACAATACAGTAACTAACCAGCTTCTTCGGAGACCATGTCTTGGAGCACTTTGAAAGAACTGGACTGGCGTGGTTGGCTGGGTCCTTGAGGATCATCATGTAGCATCCTATAAACATCAGACTGGGGCACTGCAGGTGCTGGCTCACTGCAAAGACCATGTAAATATGAAATAAAGATAATCATTAAGGGATGTTATAGAAGGACATTAACATGTACACTATAAAATGACTCTTGGAACACCACTATGTATTCATTTTAATACAGTGTGAGTTCAGAAAAATTATCTCAGTTATACCAAGAGTTTTGGGTTTACAGAAGGCCTTTTGACATTTTCTTCGAAATGACGGGCTCTAAATAGTTTCCGGTGGTTAAAAATATCCAACATACCATAAAATGCTTTTGATCGTATATGTTTTCTGATACTTGAAATTCATTGAGGAACAAGAATTCAAATGTCTTTTGAGTAGGCAGAACTTTCTACATTGTTCTTAGGATCAGATTCCTAATTACAAATTATTCTGCAATTTGATTTTTATTGTACTTGCTTCATAAAACAAGAAAAGAGCTACAGTAGCTTAGTTCTGCCCTTGCATATGGTTAGTATTAGGACAAGCTGTGATGAATACAGATTGAAAAGTTTAGATAGAATTCATTTTTGGGGAAAGGAACAGGTAGCAATTTGTTCCCCAGGGTATATTCTACATTTTTAGTATATGTTGATCTGGAGCATTGGAAAACCCTGGTACTACAGCTTTTTTTTTGCTCAAAACAGATATTAAAAAGTAAACTAAAAAGATCATTATACTAAAAATAAGTATAATGTAACAATACAATACAGTACATGTAACAATACAATAAAAAATTAGAAGCAATAGCAAATTATCACATTTTTATTTAAACAAACAAAAAATAAAGTAGTCCCCCGAAATTCATTAGATGTCAACAAATATATCTAGAAAATCAAGACAGAGTAACTCCTGGGCCTTCAGAAATGCATACATTAAATAAAAGTAGTTTAAAGTATATAATTTTAAACTTGTAATCTTTCTAAACATAATAGGTTCCTATTTAGTTTAGCTCCTGATTGTGTTATGTTCAAAAGAAAATTTCAGGATAATATTAGTTATTACACATAAAATATTCCCAAGCAGAAAGATATCATCCTGACATTTGAGTCTAATGAAAACAAAGTCCAACAACAAAAGCATTTCAAACTATTTTTTTCTGGAATGGTTTTCAAAAACAGGTTTCGCTACTTGTAATACAGTCAGTGAAGATTTCATTCATAATTCCAGGTTTGTTATGAAAAGCCCCAATGAAACACGTGCAAAAAATGAAACAAGTCTATCATATTAGCTTGACAATTGGCTCCCTTCTTGGGTCAAGATACTTTTTTTATTAGTAATATAACCAATGAATCCTTATATGTTGGCAATTTAAATGTGTCACATAATTTAAATAAATGTAGCCTTCAAGAATATTTATGCATTATTTTTAGAACTTTCACAACTCAACTAATCTATATAAATAAAAATGTAAATGTCCGTTTGTACATAACCGCACATCTCTGAAAGTTCTTCACCGATTGCTTTCAAATTTTGACACAATGTTGCATTCGACTACGGGTGTGTTTTTATATACCTATATTATATACATGTCACACCTGTGACAGGTAAAAACATGAAAAACATTGGAAAACATTGAAAGACATTGACATTGAAAAACAGTGCCATCTGCTGGACGTAAAACCAACATGGCAGCCTCCCAGCCCTGATTACGTTCAACAAATTTCTGCTCCTTATATTTAGACTCTCCATATTGCAGCCAAGAAACTGGAATGCAGATTTGGAATGCAGAGATGCCTGAGGGCCATATTGTGCCACCAGGCTTGGCAGGTAGGCAGCCGGCTCCCCGCCGGGAAGCCCTCGCAGCCGGCACTTCTAGGGCTGGGCGGGGCCCACCCGAGCCTGGCTCTGACCTCCCCCCTTCCCCGGCCACCCCATGAACTAGCCTCGCCCGCTGCTGCTGCCCATCCCCCTCGCCAGCCGCTCTCGGGGCTCCCTCCAAAGAACACCCGGCAACGAGGCTGCCTGGGTCCGCCGAGCGGGAACCCTCCGTCCCTCGCCTGGCCTGAATTGCGTCACAGCAACGCGTGGCTGGGTACAGCTAGTTATATATATATATTTAAAAGCATAAAATATAGTACATCCAATTTAAAAAGCATAAAATCAACCTTGAGCTAGATAACTCACTGATAAAAAGCAAGGTCCTTCAGAAGTTATTTCAAGGAACAAGATTATCCAATGACCTTTATTTAATGAGTGTTACCTTCAAAATATTGTTTCATAAAGCATGATTAGTTTTCCCCTTCCTCCTAAACAAAATTCTATGAATAGACACCAGACAGAACCAACTTTAATAATCCAGCAAAAGGGTTTAAAGCTTTTCAGAAATTGTTAATTGATTAGTAAGAAAGACAGAAATCAACAGAAAGCACGATATTATATATATTTAGAAATATCACTATCATATAAGTAAGCACAGAATGCAGCCGCAAATTATAATTATAAACAATCAGTTACCTGGGAGTAATTCTTAATGCAATTTTAAGCATAGGATTATATTGTACCTAACTTGAATGATGGGTAAAGCTCTCTGATTATAAACTGGGCAAAATGTTAATGCATCTACAATTATAAATCTAAATATGAACGATAGACTGATACAATCTTACTCAATTTTCATAATGACAATGAAATTAATTTTCCTTAATGTACTTGGAGGTTTTTCATTTTCTGGTATAGGACATAGCTCATAGAAAAAAATAAAAAGAGTTGAAACTGGACTTAAGATCTCTCTAATGAGATACAGGCATTCTTGAACTATTTTTGTTTTCAAGAAGCTAAGCAAATTTTTGGACAGATATCTGCAGTCTGAAGTTCAGATAAGATTAATAAAGGGGGTGAAATCATCTAGCCCTTGAGATTGCTGCAGGAATGCCCCCTCCTCTCTAGTCCCTGGCCACAGTCTTCCAGGCCATCCTGCTTTGGGTAGTATAAACATCAGATTTTTTCATACCCCATTTTCATAGATGAGCCAACAGGATCCCTGGTTCAGAGACATGGATCAGACTGAAGAGCAGCTGTGGGGATGTATTATTAAGTGAAGCAAGAAAGAAAGAGTCAGCCTTCTTTCTGCCATTTCAAAGTATGATCTCCCCATCACACTTGTCAGTTTTTCTCAGTCTGCTTTTGAACACAGATTACTCTTTCTGAATACTGTTAAACCAGTGTTTAAAAGTAGCCCAACTAGCTTGATAGGCATGGGAAAATTACTTGCTGCAGCTCAAGAGCTCCTCCTTACTGTCTCACAACTGCCACCTCCACCCCACACGTGCCTGTTGGTTGTTTATTTTCTTTATTTTCTTTTATTTTGGTTTCTGGAAAAGCTTCTATGATTATAAGCCTGTATGGCAATGCTCGATGAGATCAAAGAATTGACAGAGTCAGCTCCCTTCTCCTACTACCTTTTCCTGGAGATCCGCTGCCAGGTTAGGGAAGGATGGTAAGGGAAATGGAACAGCTTCTGCTAACTTGAGTTGTGTGAAGCAACAACATCTGGTTCCTCCTCTTCCTCCTCACCATGGTTTGCTTAATGGTTTATGCTACAGTTTATGCCAAGAGCAATATTGAGAAAGAGGGAAGGCAGTTGACCCAGGGTTTAATCAGTGGCTTTGCTTAACAGCCTCTGCTCAATCTAAATCAAGATACCCAACATCCAATACATAGCACAAGCTCCAGAGGCAGGATAGGGCCTGACAGTGAAAATAGCCAATAATATGATTTTTTTGATGACTTTAAGATGGGTGAAGTGTTCTTTCAATGAACAATGGGGAAAGGCCTTTAAAGTGGCATGGGGTAACTATACTTAAAAGCTTCAATGAATAACGAGCAAATAGCTGGCACATAGGCAGCATTCTTCATGCAGTATGCTAAGCACACAGGATGGCTCCCATTACCTTATAGGGGGTGTTTCCCCGAGTGCTGTAGCAACCTGTCCCTGCAGTGTTTCCATAATATTGTCATCTGAATACATCTGCATAGGAGTATTAAACTGAGCGTGCACAATCTTGACACCAGGAAGTTCCATTTCTAAGGGAATGTTGGGGGCCATCTTAGCTGCAGCTTTCAACTCAGTAGGACAGATAGTGCTAACAGTGCTAATGGAAGAGGGTGTGCTACGTCCACTGCTGCCATCAAAACCGGAGGGAGTACTGCATATGTGATTCAAATCAGAGTGAGAACAGAAGGTAAATAAAAGGCACATGCAGTTTCTAGAGTGATCAATGAGAGAAGAGAACGCAAATACAAGAATTCAGCGCAAGCTTTTGTCTATGTTTTCTACTGTGTACAAATTGTTGTAAAAATCCTCATATTTTGTATGCTCAAGTCTCACCACTGTCCACTAAAATGTATGCTACAGTTTAATAACTTGATCAGGTTCAGGCAATTTAATATTAGTGCTTGAACCTTTTGAAGTTTGTTGCGTTAACAACAACAATAATATTGTTGCAACAATAATATTCATACTCTTCAGTCCATAATTATATATATAATCCTATTGATGTATGCCTGCAATGTTTTAACAATATTGCAGCCATTTCAGTGTACTGTAATCTCTTTCCTAAGAATTTCTGAATTCTGATGTTCTAAAAAAGGAACTCTGAAAACCAGGCTGTTAATTATTTAAATTGTGATGACATAGAAAATAATTGAACTATGCAAATATATTTTCTTGCATTTGTTTCACATTGGAAAAATATGCATGCAATATATTATAATGATGAAATATTTAATGGTCCAAAATCAAAACTACACAAATGTATATTTACCATTGAGTTCATTGCAATATTATCATTCAAAATGTCATTGCTAAATGCAATAACTCTTTGGTAACATTAATTTTATTATTCTTGTCTAATATTTAAGGGAGGAGAAGTTAGATTTTAGGCCATTTCAATTAAAATTATGATTAGCCAAAATCCAGAAAATGAGTCATACTTTGGTATGTTAAAAATACATAAATTGATATGTTAAAAAGCAGGTTCTCATGATATATCACTTTTTTCTGTTTTAAGTTCTCTTACTTCTACATAACATGGGTTAGAGTCCTTTTGGACACAATATTTCAGCTATGAATGCAATAAATCAGTTTGGACTTATTAAGCAATAAAGTTAAGGAGCTACTAACTAAACATAGTCAGTCTTTCCCTGTCAAATATTGCACAATGGGGAAAAAGCTGTTAACTGAACATTGATGGGAGGCTATAGTTTTCTTCATTGGTATTTTAAAACAGCTGGCTGGCATTTCTGCATGATGTGGTACCAAGAAATCAGGAAGTAATCATGTGGAAAGCTAGCCTACAGTGTCGATTATGCTAGGTGTTACATATGGATTTACATTAAGAGGATAACAAATATTTATTATGGCCTAGAGCAGGGGTGTCAAACTGGCGGCCCACGGGCTGGATGCATCATGCGCAGGCTACACCCACCCCAGCTCCACAAAGGCAAAAAAAGTCACAATACATCACATGACGCCACCTGATGCGATCGATTTTGACACCCGTGGCCTAGAGTCTAGGTCTCAATCTGTAAAGAAAATATCTCTACTCCTCCTAAAATCCATAGCTGTTGCTATCTCTGTTGCTAATCACTTGATTAGTGATTACAATAAAAACTTTGCAATGATTCTGAATAATTACATAATGAAGAACTTCAATGTATCCTTGGAAAATGACTGTGATGTACCAAAATGAGAGGTCATAGTAGTGACCTTAAATCCAATTCCTCTCTTAGACATTAACATGGAAATAAAATGTAAACTCAATTTTGATTGGAAATTGTGTTGGAAAGTTACTTTTGGGATTTGAATTTCTTTATCAGAAAATAAATTTTATTTTATTTATTTATTAAACCAATGTATATACCTGCCCATCTCACAAACAAGTGACTCTGGGCAGTGTACAACAGAGCTAAAATATAGTAGAAATACTTAGATCTGATTCTGAATCAATTTGCTTTAAGACAATGGTGACTATATTTTTCTATTTATCAACAAATCTCACAGTTTCATTGGAATTTGCATCTAAATGAGCGGGTATACTTTAGGTTTGTACTACAAGGCTGAAATCACATGTATTTAGGGCATGAAATTAACTGATTTCACTGTGGTTTACTCTTAGCTAATTGTGCAAGGATTGCAGGCTAAATGTTCACAATCTGGTGAATATTAAAAGTATCAAGTTTTATGAGCTTTTGAAATGAAATTTAAATCTCATCACTTTTGCTGAATGCTATCAATCAAATGCATATGATTCCCAAAATTTATTGGCATGTCCAAGCTCAAACAATAACAAGTCATCTTGTTATTATTACAAATCTTATATGACTGCAAATATTCATTGTATGCCACAACTGTATCACTAAATATTTCTAGAAATACTAAAGTATTGTTAAATGAGATGAATGATAACATTTCCTAAAGCACAGATCCTTTAAAAAAATTGCAGTCAAAATGCACAACTAATTCAAAGTTGTCAAGAGGAATTCTTATAAGACCATACCGGCATACTTTTCAAGAAAACATTCCTTATTATCAGAGGCAAGAGCAAAGAAATTCAGAAAAGCCTTATGTGCTCCCAAGCAAGCATGCAGTTTTTCATTTGCCAGATTTCTCAGCCAAACATCCCTAGAAGGGGAGAGCTACACGTGGCATTCCTCAGCAAAAAAGCAAGATCAAGAGCCAATGTTTGGAAGACAAGAACCAGGCTTGTCAGTTAGTGGCAGGGTTAATGCTAATAACTTAAATACATTGTCAACACTCTCACCACAAGCGTGATCATAAGCAACAAGGTGCTCATTAGCAGTGCCAGAAAACAAGAGGATGCACAAGTAACTACAAATTTCCAATCATTTATTAGCAGATATTATGTGTTACTAGGTAAATACAAAAATTATGCTAGGCAGACATGGCATTATGATTTTCAAACTTTATCTTGCTACACACTGTTTTCTAAACACAACTGATGACAAGTGAAATTAAAACCAAAGTACAAGATACTTGATTTCCTATATCGCAAAGTAATCTGTACTATATATTTTCAATTCTCAAATGTCATCCTCCATAAATTCTTACAACAATGTAGGAATTCATGAAGGAAAGTAATATTCCTATTAAATTATATTCTTTCTGCATTAAATCACATTTTAGTCCATTTTCCATTTGTTTTATTCATAATAAATGTCTTAGGTTTATCTGTTTTGCTAGCACAGAATATATCCAGAGGTCCTCTGATACAAGATATATTGAACTTAATAGAATTTGGGGAACTCTGTGGCCTAAAATGTTGTTGTAACCTGAATCAATATGTATGCTACATTTTTACCAACCCTTTCCATGATTTAAGAGCTGGATCTCTTTATTACTTGGGAATCACTGTTGACTACAGCTGTGAAGCAAGCATTTCATTCATTAGAAGGATTTACAACATACTGAAGTAGCAATATTACTGAATCCAATTGGATTGTGGGGGAAAAAAATCATGCACCAGTTACAGACAAAAGTTATGACCTGCTTGGGCTTTGGACTACGAAAGGTTTAGGTCGAATATTATGTTTGTGTTCAAAGTAGCCTATGTCCTGGAAAAAAAGGAAAGGGTTACAAAACAACTTTCAGCAAATTACAGTATATTTGTTTCCAAAGAAGATAATGCACACATTGAAAATTATGGAGTGTAAGTTGTAGAGTAGTAGTATTAGCACATTTCCTGTTATTGGAGGAAAAACAGAGTGATGGCTAGGCCAAAATCAGGCATTTTAAAGCTGCTGGTCCTATTTCACATTCTACAAAGTAAATCCCATGAAATACACAGATTTAAAATATCAAATAGGCTGCATACATCAATATAAACAACACCACTTAAAATCAGTATGTTGCGCAGGTTTAGTCCTGTTATATTTATTCAGGTGAAAGTCAGATTAAAACTAAATGGGTTTCAATCATAGCATATGGATATGGATAAAATTATACTTTTGATGCTTGTTTAGCTTTGTTTTGGCTGGATTGAACTCAATGTTGCACCTACGCATAAATTTTGTGTTGAAGAGAAGGGTATGCTTGAAATATTGGTCCTTCCCACATAAATATTCATTTGAAGGTAAATATCTTGAAAGGCACTTTTTTAAAAAAGTTTTGAAGATCAGGAAAGAAAAAAGAGAGCAAAAGGCAGGAAGAGATGGACTCAGCAATATAAGAAACAAGGATACCAAAGATAGTGATGAGAGGCCATCTCACACTGTGGTACTCACTTTTCAGGTGAACTAGGGATCAGGCCACACAGCTGTCCATGAAGAGCATCGTGTATATTGCCAGATGAATAAAGCCCAATTGGAGAGTTATAGGCAGAACTCATTACCTGCCTTTTGTCATCAAGGTTAGCTGCTGCAACAAAAGGCTTGGCCTTTCTGTTATGAGTTGCACCAATAGGCTTGAATTCCTGTACATAAATAGGCAGACAAAATACATAGAGCTACAATGCACACTTAAGCCAACAGCAGGCAAAACTGACATTGCGGCTAATTATTAATCAAATGCATCAGTCCCAAGGCACAACAAGCCTTGATTTAGCAAACCAGTAAGCAAGCACCTATGGAAATCTTTATAGAAAATAATACCAGTTGTAGGCAGATAAGCTTACAGACATGACTATCGTTGTTATTTATTTGAGGCAGCATTACAAGCATTTGGCTGCAGAATATTGCAGAACAGCCACAGTTCTTCATTCTCTCTCTCTCCGTCACTAATATCCAGCCATCCAGAAATCAAAAAGTAAGTGTTGCTATTGCACCACCTCTTTCCCCAATTTTGTTGGTGATAAGCAATGACACAAGCAGGAATGTGAGGTCAGTGATGTCAGCTCACACAAATTTGGATGACTAAAGGTAAGGGGGCAGGAGAGAAGACTGGGTTACCATGATCTTTCTTGGCAACTGCATTTCTTCCACAAATATGGGATTTCTTTGTCTCAGATTAAATGAAATGACCATCTTTCATGGGTCTTTGGCCACAAGGTTTCTTTCAATCAATCAAATGCATTTCTAGATACAGTTGAAATGGTATAAATAATTTAATCAAAGCACAAAACAGTCCACCGGGTCCTTTTGGTTGTAGCACTGCCATAATTTGGTTAGTCCTAAAGCAAGACAGACATAAATGGACACGCTGCCTTCTGAACAAATTTTAAAAAGTGGTTTTCAGAAGATGCAAAATAAAACTAAGCTGACAAATGCTCTGCATTTAAACCGATCAGCAGCTTTCTGCTTGCACTATCATGCTGAGATCTAAATCAAAATGAAGCATAATTTACTGCTTCTAATCCTAATGAAGCAAAGAACAAAATTGCCACAGGAAAAAAGAGTGGCAAGGAAATCTGAAAGAAGTAAACAAAGCCCTGTTGTGTCTTCTGATTTACAATCTATTTAAATTACACTATTAACTTCCTCAAGTCATTTGTTTTACTAAATTAGTGTTTAAATTGTGTGGGTACTTTAACAAGATTTTTTTTTCATTGCTCCAATTGTTTTAGCTGTGTGTTACATCCATTGATGTAAAAAAGTCTGCTAGAGCATAAAATACCATATCAGGTCCATTATTCAGTATCTTGAGAAAAAAAATCTGTAATTGTTTCCCTTTTTTCAGTCTTTATGGCTGAAAAAGTACTAGTGTTAAGAATTCCAGTGATCTAGAAGAGAATTCAAAGGTTTGAACAATGGATTTGATCTTCCTTATGAGCAGCAAAAGTAGAATTCTGTACAACATGAGTTTATTAAGGTAAATCTGTTAGCTTCACAGAAGTTATGAACATTCATTTTTCTTGTTACAGAAATATATTTCATATTTGACTATTACAACCTATTTCAGAACTTCCCAAAAAAAAAATTAAAAGTTTAAACATATGTGTGGTTAAAGTGAAAAACCCACCTATGATACCATTTCATCTTTTTAAAATATTTATTCCACTTTCCGTTCTAATCCAAAGGAAAGTTTCTCAGAACAACTTACAAAAAGTTCAATTTATGAAAACACTAGAAGTTTTGTATATCTTAAATTTGGATGAGCTATGTGGATGATTAAATTTGGATTATCTGTGTGACTGCTAGGAGCCAAAAATGACTTGATGGTCCATAATCAATCAATCAATCAATCAAATTTGGATGCTAGATTTTAGAACACAGTCAGTCACAACTTTGGTCTGTAAAATATAGCATCTTATTTAATCTATAATAGGGAAAGAAATCCTGTAACTCTCTAGATGGGTCTCAAGTGCCACTTTTGGATGGATTCATATTCTAGATGGATGTGCAGTATTGTCACTTCTATCAGACCTAGGCAGCATAGTCAATAATCAGGAATGATAGGGCCCATATACCAACAGAGGATCGTTGTTTCTCCACTGGTCTACTTGTAAGATTGTTTACAAAATGCTCTTAATTAATCCTTATTGTTAGTATAATCTGCTTTAAAGAACTGATTTGGACATTCAAGAAATCTTCTTATAATAGCATAGTTCACAAGCACAGTTCTGTAACCAAGAAGGGGAAGGAAATTACCGCCCGAAAGTACTCCTCTTTAGTTGAAAATCAGTTGTGCCTTTTTTTTTGTTTCACAATATATTCCTGTAATTCTTTTAGCATTTCTTGGTCAGTCCTCTAGTTTTCAAAAGAGACTAATTTCACTTACAGAGTTGTTAATGTACAATTACCATGTTTCTCCAAAAATAAGACCCTGTCTTATATTTTTTTGAACCCTGAAATAAGTGCTTGGCCTTATTGCCATGCGCTCAAAAGCCCGATTGGGCTTATTATCAGGGGGTGTCTTATTTTGGGGAAAACAAGGTATTGTAGTGGCCCAAGAGACAATCAGAGCATCCAGAGGAGCAAACTGGCTAACTCAGATAGATAGGCAAAATCGGCTCCACACCTAACTCTATAATCAGATTTCTTTTCTTGTGAGCATAATATCCATGAGGTAGGTAGGAGGCTGCTCATTTGACTAGTCTCCCACATGGAAAGGTTTCTCTAAACAGAAAGGTAAAAGCCTGTTGGATGTTGTAGTTAAGGCATTAGGCTAGAAATTGGGAGATGCGAGTTCTTAGGTGCAAAACCAGTTGGGTGATTTTGGGTCGCTCATTATCTCTCACTTCTGACCCTTGCAAGAAAACTGAAGGGACTAGTCCATGTAATTGCTGGGAGTCAAAAACTGATTCAGAGGGCATCAAAATCAAAACAAAAACCAAAACCCAGGAATGAAATCAAAACAAAAACCAGAAAAGTAACTCTGTAAAATGAAAAAAAAATACTATCCTGGTTGTCTCAAAATGTGCTTTTGTTCAATAGTGAGGAAAGAGCATTGAGCATTCAAGTCTGAATCCACTATTAATGTTAACGTAAGTCATTTGGAAGAGCTATATAACTGGAAGAGCTATATTCCAATCATGAAGGCTACTTCTTTTGAAGCAGCGTTTAAAAAACGGAGCTTCATCATATTCAGTTGAATTAAATTGGCTGGAAAGTGGCCTTCCATCAAAACACTGGCCCTGATAATGTTAACAAATAGAATATTTAAATCTAATCGTCTATCCATCCATTTACAAAGTTTTATATTAGTATCAATGGGATTTACTTCCATTAAATGTGCTTATTAATCAAAGAGGTTATCATCCCCGAAAGGAAAATCAAAATCCTAGGCAATAGGAAAGTATGATGATTGCAAAGAAATTCTGAAAAGTGTATAGCCAACTATTTTTAATACTATTGGGAGATATATTACGGAAACACATGCAGTACAGCAGCATCAATTTTATGCCAACATGCATTGCTGCAATGTGAATTTGACCTAATTTTTCTTTCCCAAAATATCACCAAATATGCAAAAAGATAAACTGAAATAGCAAATCATAGCAACAAATGTACACAGTCCAGCTCTTCTGTTTATTGCATGTAACAAAACTCTGAAATACTGTATGGTCATCTTAACTGACATTTCAGTAAGAATCCAAAAATAAATTATGGAATCTGGATTTGTTAGGGGTGAAATCAGGAAGGTATATTCTGCCAATGAGGTGAATCTTTTTTATTTTAAAATTAGCAGAAAAACAACTGTTGAAACACATTTATTGCTCATTAAGATGATTATTTAGCATTTAAAGAATTAAATATATAATTTAATATTTAATGACCTTTCATAGAATAATTTGTTAATAACTTAAAAGTCAATAGCCAGTAGAGTATTTTAATGACATATTTTGTTTTGGCAGTAGTTTAGTCATTATTTTGTTGTTTGGATTTGAAATAACATACTTCCATTTGAATTCCCATTTAGTGAATCTTTTTCCATGTGCTGTTGTTAGTTTGATTTATTGCATGGCACCTTAGTAGATAATGTCTGAAATTTCAGACTAATTAATTTTATTTATTTATTTGTTTATAAAGATCACCAATCTTACCTCAAGGTAACACTGGACAGCTTACAATTGTAAAAGATAAAAACTATACTGAAGTACAATTAAAAGACAAGACTGGTGGGAACAGAATGGGGGGGGGAGGTGGCTCTGTTGTTAATTGATCAACCACATCCACTGTGATGTTCCCCCATTGGAGCCCCAAGCTAACTGGCAGAGCCAGGTCTTCCGGCTCTTCTGGAGGGTTGGAGCCGACCTCACTCTGGGGATGGGGGGATATATTCCAGAGGGCAGGTGCAATGGTAGAGAAGGCCCTTCTGCTGGACCCTGCCAGTCAGAATAATCGGGCCAAAGGGGCTCTACCAGCACAGGTGGGGTGAGCCAGTCAACATCAAATTCCAAGACAAGCTTTTCAGATGTAAACTATCTTGAGTACACTCTTCCAATCTAGTATTTTTAGATATTTTTGAGTTCAGCTGCCATAATTCTCAAGGAATTCATTAGATGTGGAAGACATTGTATTAATGGGTGAATCTATCCAGAGCTCACTAATTTGATTCCTAGATCCATTAGAGTAAAATTTATCTACAGAACATATGTGAGATACTAAGACAACTAAACTCAAGATCCTAGTCAATCTAGAATATAGATATATGAGAGCCATAATTTCCAAGGGTGTTTAATCATAATGTCTTGAGAGTCACTGGTTAAGTGTTGCTGTCATGTTAAATTATCAGTTAGCAGTACAGTCAACTTACAATTGGTTGCTTAACAACCATTTCTGGCTAACACTACTTAATGACCATGGATTTGCTTAACATGTGAGGTCATTTGCTTAATGACCATTGCAAAAAATGTCAATCAATCAGGTCCTGTCACGTGAGGGCCTTGATTTATGACCAAAAATCTAATCCCAGTTGTGGTCATAAATTGAGAACTACCTGTACAAGTTGGTAAGTACTAACTAATTAAAAATAGAATAAGAGTGTTGGTGATTTAAGAATTACTAGATCTCAGCTGTAAAAATCCAGTCAACCATTAGATGGCAGAGAAGGTATGCAGATAACTTTAGTGTTTTCCAGTGTTAAATGCCAGTGTTTAGTGGCTATCTGGATTCTTGCAGTCCAGACATAGTTTTAATTTGAATCAATTGCTACCTGTGGTTCAGCTTCCAAGTTTATTTTGAATGGATGCGGTCTTCCTTCTTCTGCTACTTGTGGAGACCACAATTTAGTCTCTGCCCTGTTGGATAAAAATGAATAATGAATTAGGGAATCCAAAACATTTTACCATTTTTAGCATGTCATAAGCATTTTATGTATTTATGTCGTTACAGATTTAGATTGCACTTTTGTAGAAAGTTAACTGGGATTGAATTTGAAGACACTACTGTCCACATTGACCAAGTAGGTTTATGTTGGTAATTTGTACATTAAATGCCACATTAAAAAGTGGAGAATTTTCAAATTACAGTATTTTTAAAACTTCTACTAATAGAAAAAAAAAGAAAAGAAAGGAAAGACAAACCTATCAGTATCAGTGTTTATCTGCTACTGTTCAGAACAGTAAGCAACATATGGCATAAGAATGATAAACAAAAATTGTGAAAGACTAATTTGGCAATAACTTTTTAAAAATAATCACAAAACAGGAAGGAACCTCATCCCTCAAACAGCTCTGTGTTTGATAAGAATATGTAGAATGGAAAATTTCAAGCAATTAAAGCAATAACTCATATCAACGCAAAATTAAATGGAATTCATTAGATATTACTGTTATGGGGAAGACAACCACTGGTTTGACGAACTGGGCTCTTCTGAGTTAATAAGTAAAACTGCCCGAAGTTTGTATCTGCATAGACAGTTGTTTTTTCGCAGCAGTTCAAGAATTCTTTTGACATAGGTGTAATTTCACCAAATACTTTGTCTTTCACTTTGATACATGTTAAAAAATTTTTATATTAATTGCATTAGAAAAATTGCAAGATATTAATCCTAACGCATAATCACAGAACACAATTTATTACATGCAAGGATGAGCAAGCTGCTCATTTTTGTGGTGACCATAGCATAATTATGCCACCAAAATTAGGTGACAAAGAAACCAATAACGGCAATTCTATTTTTTAAAAATCCAACAAAATCAGTTTATCAGCTCCATACACTTAGAAAAGATTTTAAAAAATCAGAACAAAAAATCCCAACCACTCCTATGACATCATTATACTATAGACTACTAAACTGAGTTTAAAAAAAGGTGGGGGGCAATCCCTTGAGAAAAATACATTCCTTCTTGACCTAGAGAATTTAAGGTCCAGATTTTGGTACTGTGATCCTGAGCGTGTAAGTCGCGAAGAATTACCTCTCAATTTTCAGACAGAGTTGCTGGGTTGCTGCTTTAATTTTCTCCTGGGCGTCGTTGTGAGTCATGTTCTCTGTGCTGTGACCATCAATAGCTATAATGATGTCACCGGGACACAGATTCGCCTGTGAAGCTTTACTTCCTGGTGTTATCTAAAAGAAAATCACAGAGCAAGTTTTTATGCCATTGTTTAACAGGTATATGTCCATTTATAGAATCTATCTGTCTGTCTGCTTGCCTGCCTTGACATGTTTTTGCAAGGTAAGAATTACACAATAAACGTTTCTGCCATTAACACTAGTCTCTTCTATTTACTCAAATTCCTTCGTCTTAAAAAGATTTAGACCAGTTTAGAGTTGGTAATCAGCCAGTCAGCAGATCCTGAAATGCTCAGAAAGCTCCAGGGGATGAAGAATTCACATTCCAATCAATAGAGGCAGCTAAAGGAAATGCACTAAGCATATTCTGAACTACAGCCATGTCTGGGGAAGAAAAATGTTATAGGACAGAAAAGGATCTATGCACTGTGCTCAGTGTTAAAAAGAAGTGGGATTAAATCACCCAGACACACCTCCATTTTAATGCCATCGATAGCCCCCGTCCCACACTACTGCAAGCAATCCCAAATTAGGACATTCAGCTGATTTTGAGCAGCTACTGGAAATGAGAAAAACAGCAACAGCAATAGCTCTTAGGCTTGTATACCACTTCATAGTGCTTTACAGCACTTTCTAAGCCAGGGGTGTCAAGCTCGATTTCATTGAGGACTGCATCAGGGTTGTGTTTGACCTCTGGGGACTGGAGTGGGTGCAGCCAGGGTGCGCGTGGCCAGCTTGACATCACTTGTATCAAGGGCGCCTGTGGCAGCCTGAGTTCTCTGCCAGCGAAAATGAGCTACCGAGCTCCGTTTTCCTATCCAAACATTCTCCTGGACAAATTAAGATGCCAAGCGGAAATACTACTTTTTCCTGCAGTGATTTGTTTGCTGCAGTGCTAGCATACATTAATTAAGCCTGTATACCAACAAAACACTTAAAATCATGAATAGTACAGAGGTAACAGACACTAGTGGTAGAACACAAATTACATGTATGAAAGTAATCTAATCCTAATCTAACCATATTTGGCACCAATGAGAATATTAGAGGTTGGGAAAATAGGGGCTGTTGTAATCTTAGTGTGTCAAAAAATACCTTCTGCCATAAACATAACATAAACCAATCTAGATGGATTCAGTAGCCACTGAAAGTTTTATCTTTCATGAATGTGTCTCATTTACTTCCAAAGATGAACTGCCAACAATATATCACACTCCATCTCATGATATTAACATTCCATAGTTTAAATATGTGCTCTGTGAAACACTTACCTTTCCTGATCCTAAATAATTGGTATTATGTTAGCAAAAAACTTCTTTGACTTTTTTCTACATAACTTGTCCATATTTGTTTCTCGCCTTATTTTCTTATCTTTCTCCAGAACATTGAAGTTATTGCAATACAGTATCTTCGTATTGTAGCTAAATAGCTCCAGCTCTTTGATAATTTTGCTTATCCTTTTCAAGTCTATAGTTATTTTAAGACATAATAATCATAACTATAGACAGTTTCCTATGGTAATCACACTGTTTGTACTAAAGCATTAGGACAGAACCATTTTTTTTAAAAAAAATCAATTTAATTTTCTGATATCCATCGTTAAGAAAATAAATGGGAGAAGGAAGAACTTTCTTGGTGATCAGAGATTTTATAAAGTGGATTGTTCTGCTGCTAAGAGATTTACTTAAGTTTAGATGAATACTGTTCAAACAAAGCTCTCCTATAGACACGTTATACAAAGTAGTATAGTCTGTGGGCAAGAAACATTTCTAGTCTTAAGCCTCTGACTTTTAAGACAACTCAGAAACTGGATACAGACTTTAGCAAATCAAGTCATAATTTCTCAATTTGGATATTATGAGAAATTGTGTAAGAAACCAGAACATTTTAGCGCACATTCTAATTCAAAAAAACCCTTGAACTGGATTAGTATTCAGAATGATCTTTCATTTCAAAATTCTCTGAGGTTACAGGAGGTAGAAATTTTTTTGAAAAATAATATGAAAGGACAATCGAATTGCCTTTGAATTTATTCTTAAGCAGGGATTCAAATGTTAACAGAGGCTCAGAAGTTTCTCCCACTAGACTTTTTAAAATACATATTGGAAAATCAACTTCTGCAAATTGGTCATTAATTTTTTGATGAGTAGCTTGGGACTAGCTTCTGCCAGGAACCCATTTGATTCTGTTTCTCTCCCACTCCAAGATAAAGTTCATTTCTCTGTGTTATGATCATTCCTTTTTAAAGGGTCTTTAAGAGTTCCAAGATTTTTTTTTGTTTCTTAAAGCAAATATGCATGGGAGCATCTCTGGCAAACAGTACTGTCTACTTAAGTGACTCATTGCTTGGTTTTTCTGTAACTATAAACTTTTAGGAAGTTCCAAGCCAAATCTGATCTGTAGCAGGGATGGGAAAACTGGTGCTTTCCACGTTTTGAATTTCAGTTCCCATGATATTTCTTTTTCTTTTGGGTTAGCCTTTCGTTAAACTGCAGGAAAAAGTAGTACTTCCACCTGGCTTCTTAATTTGTCCAGGAAAATGTTTGGATAGGAATTGGCAATTGCCAACCCCCATTTTACCTCAGAATAACAGAACAACAGAGTTGAAAGGGAACTTGGAGGTCTTCTAGCCAACCCCCTTGCTCAAGCAGGAAACCCTATACCATTTCAGAACAAATGGTTGTTCAATCATTTCTTAAAAATCTCTACTGTTGGAGCACCCATAACTTCTGGAGGCAAGTTGTTCCACTGATTAATTGTTCTGTCAGGAAATTTATTGTTATTTCTAGGTTGGTTCTCTCCTTGATTAGTTTCCATGCAATGCTCCTTGTCCTGCGTTCAGATGCTTTGGAGAATAGCTCAACTCTCTCTTCTTTGTGGTAGGCCCTTAGACATTGGAACACTGCTATCATGTCACCCTTAGTCCTTCTTTTCATCAAACTAGACATACCCAATTCCTGCAACCATTCTTCATATGTTTTAGCTTCCAGTCCCCTAATCATCTTTGTTGCTCTTCTTTGCACTCTTTCTAGAGTCCCAACATCTTTTTTTATATCATGGCAACCAAATCTGGATACAATATTCCAAGTGTGGTCTTATCAAGACATTACAAAGTGGTACTAATACTTCCCATGATCCTGATTCTATCCCTCTGTTAATGCAATCTAGATCTGTGTTGGCTTTTTTTGGCAGCTACAGAATACTACTGGCTATATATTTATGGTAAATGGTTGTCCACAGGGCTCCAGGATCCCTCTAGCAGTTACAACTATTGAGCCAGGTACCACCTATACTATACCTGTGCATTTTGTTTTTCTTGATTAAATGTAGAACCTTATTTTTCTCACCACTGATTTTAATTTTGTTAGGGCCCAGTGTTCAAGTCTATCAAAATCCTTCTGTATCTTGAGCCTATCTTCTGAAGTGTTGGCTGTTCCTGCCAGCTTGGTGTCTGAAAATTTGATGAGTTCCTCTTCTATCCCCTTAAATCATTGATGAAGATACTGAAGAGTACCTCAAAAGGTCATGATCTTATTGCTAAGAACATGAAGTCAAAATGTCCATTTTCAACTGCTTTCCATGTTTCCAAATAAAATGCAAAACAGGTGCTTTTAGCTTAGGCAAGACCAAATACAGCCATGTTGCTGTTTTAACCTTCCACTCCATCACTTTTGGTCTGCCCTATTATGGTGACAGCATGGTATTTCCAGCTCATTACTGGGACATCTGGAGCAGTGGTGAAATCTAAAATTTGTTACTACCGGTTCTGTGGTGTGGCTTGGTGGGGGGGGTTAATGTGACGTGGCCATTTTTTTTTTAACTTTTAAAACCATTTTTTCTACAACGTCTTTGGCAAAATGCTTTCAAAAGTCTCTGACAATCCCAGCTGAGTTGCCTGATCAGCAGAGACTTCTTTTCTTTTAAATGCCTCTGATGATCAGGCAACTCAGCTTGGATCATCAGAGGCATTTAAAAGAAAAAAAGGGTTAAAGCCTTTGATGATCCCAGCTGAGCTGCGCGATCATCAGAGGCTTTTTTTTAACTTTTAAAAGCATTTTTTCGGCCGAAGAGGTTGTAGAAAAAATGCTTTTAAAAGTAAAAAAAAAAGCCTCTGATGATTTTGCGGCTCAGCTGGGCGGGGGGTGGGGCGCAGGGATTTTTGCTACCAGTTCTCCGAACCACCCGCCTCCATCGCTACTGGATCAGGCGATCCGGTCTGAACCGGGAGCATTTCACCCCTGATCTGGAGGCTTTTTTAAAAAGTTGTCCATCATTGCTCTAGGAAGATGCATGACTAAGGCAGAAGTTTTTCAGAATATTTTTCTGTAAGTAATGGTCTTAGAAAACAATGGCACTTACTTTCAAGTAAACATCATCAGATCTATCTGCTAGTCAATTTATTAAAAGCTTGCACATTCTTACTGCTAAGAAATGAAGAAATGAAATATATTCTGGATAGTTTTGCACTGTGGTAGCTTTAACTCTGAGAGACTTAACATCAATCCACTTAGAAGGTATCCACTCAAGTCATTTAGAGCAATTGGCTTCAATAAAACTTGATCCAATAAATTCAGGTCCTCAGCTTTAGCATCAAACAGTAAAGATGTTACAGTAATGGATTGGTCTGAAAATGTCTATAGGTATCAGAATGTATTTATGTTGGTCTTTTTAAAAATATTGCATCATTATGCAAACATGAAAAACCACTAAAACAGATGTTAATGGCAAGCAAACATTATTAATAAAACAGCAGATACTATCTTTACATACGTTTTTCCTTGTACATATGTCTTGCAGGCTGCTGAGGACCTCCAAAGGGGCAATTAATAAATCTTCTCATGCAGCTACTTGTCCCATGGAAATTCAGAAAGTTTATTTTGCACTAATTTGCTATAAATGCAGCTAGCTCTTTTTCTGTTAATATCACTTTAAATTTTACTGTGTACTATAAACAAATGCCAAGTAGAAGTCAGACATGGCTAAATATTTTTCCTGAGAGATAATGGGAAGTATTTTAATTCCATAAAAGGAAATTCAGCCCCAAAACACCACAA